GTTACTCGTATTTTCGAGGTAAACAACATGGCGCAGCTTCAGCTGACCGAGGACATGATCCTTGATAGGAAGGTATGGAGGTCGAGGATTAGGGTAGTAGAGTAGGTAGTCTAGAGTGTTCATAACAGTAGTATGGGCACGCAGCCTCGCTTTTTGTTGGTAGTAGGTTTTTATGACTAACTGTTATTTTCTTTCATTGTTGATCACCTTACTGTGTTGTTGTTTTTATTATGCTTTTATAGGGTTTTTTGGTACTGTCCCTTCTTGTCTATTTTTTTATTAATGTGGTGCTTATGTTTTCCTGAGCCGATGGTCTATTGGAAACAACATCTCTATCCTCACTAGGTAGGGGTAAGACATGCATACACACTACCCTCCCTAGACCCCACGGTGTGGGATAGTACTGGATATGTTGTTGTTGTCGTCGCTAAAGCGAGGAGTGGTGTGGTCACGCAACCATCTCAGCTCTATAAATAACACCATGGACGAGAATTTTTGGCCATTTTCAAAAATTTGCTCAATTCTTGAGAGCTTCAAGAATCCTTCAACCAAAGATTCAACCCCATCAACTAAGGTAAGATTTACCCTTAATTTTAGTGTTAAATACAAGTTTTTAGAACATCTACTAACATCAAATAATCATGGAATTTTCTGGATTTTTAAAATCTACCAAGAACACTTGGAAGATTTATGAATATTTATGGTAGGAATAAATGCTTAAAAGTCATTGGTTGGTGGCTGGAGGTCATAAATGTGTCATCTTAGCTTGGCATTAATTGTGGTTGATTATCTGGTGGAAAAGATGACGGATAGTGGTGTTGGGACTTTAATGTTAGTTTATAATGATCTAAATAGATGTAAAAACACCATTGTTGAAGTTTTTTAAGCGATTATTCATGATATCACCTAAATCGGTTAATTTAAGAAATTTAGAGAATTTAATGTAAGTATTGACTACTTGTGGATTAAAAGGATATTGTTAAGATACATTGTTAATGCATGTGCGCTCGCATATGTAGATTGTGACTCATTGGCGTCGTTGGATCATTTGGGTTAAGATTTGGAATGAAATTTGAGGTACAATGAGGCTTATTACCCTCAGATCTTTTTTCCACATTCATATCAAAAAGCGATTTAGAAATAAATTCGAAATATGCGTCCTAACTTGTGGGTACGAGTGGGTTATATTTGAACTTGTTTGTCACTCGAAAATTGTTTGAACTTGTTTCTTTAGGGATATTAAATAGCTATAGCTAAACTTTAGTTCTCTGTGGGATTCGACCATAGACTCATAATCCAGGTTATATTTGCAGCGACCACTTATCCCTTTTAGGACTAGAGTTGGGCGTGATCCGAAACCTACTTTTATTCAGCTAGATTCATCGTTGCTTCGATAAGTTAAAAGTTCTAGTTCACTTATCTTGTCGGAGTTTTATTAATGTGGCTAACAAAATTTTGTTTTTCGAATTAGCAAGTTCACACACAAAGTTTTGAATATAGTATTAGATCACTAAAATAACAATTATATTTCATAAGATAAGTTAAAGAATATGCTCTTTAAATTCACATGAAGTATATGTGCAACGTATATTTACTATATATATATATATATATATATATATATAAGAGCGCGACTGCGAGAATTCGATCCTAAACGTAAATCAATAAGGCACTTGAGAACTTTAGTGGGGTAGAATTTATTATTTTATTGAGCTAGCAAATATGATCAACACATTTCTTCGTGCTCTTATTTCATATTGTTATCAAATAAACTAATTGGCTTGGCGTTACATAATTTGGTTATTTATCATTGATATCCAACAAAACATCCTTTTTTATATAATGACCTTTTGATTTTTATCATATCTCTCTTAATTTTTTAATCTATAATAACTAAATATAATTTCTAATATAATATTTATATAATTTTAAAAGACTTTTTACTCATTTAAATAGGGTACACGCGCAATGTGCGTACTCTAATCTAGTAATAATAAAAGAGGGTAAAAAAATGACAAATATTTTGGACGTATAGATTTTACTAAAAAGATAAAAATTAATAAAAATGAAGACAAGAAAAGAAAGTGCTAGAGTAAGGGATTGTTACTAGAGAGAACAAAAAAAGAATTTAAAAACAACAAAAAGAAAAGAAACTAAAATAAAAAAACTAAAAAAGAGTGCAAAATTTTATTAAAAAGAAAAAATAAAGTAAAAAATAACAATAAAACAAGAAAAATATAAAATAAAATAAAATAAAATAAAATAAAAGTAAAAAAGAGTGACAATTATATCTTGGATGAAGAGATTTTACTGGAAACAACAACATTTAAAAAATTAAAATACAGTAAAAAATTAAGACAACAAAATAAAGTTACAAAAAGTAGGGGTGTTCGTTTGTCGGTACGATACTGTATTTAGACATTTCAGTTCGTTATTTTTGGTATTTGGTTTCTTAAAATATTATACAATACCATACCTAATTAAATTCGGTATGGTTGGGTTTTTCTCCTTTCGGTTTCAGTTTCGGTTTATTCAGTTTGGTAACTTCGGTTTGTTCGGCTCGAATATTAACTAGTGCATAAAGCCGCAGACTGTAATTTTCTTAAGTAAGGTATTCAAAAACACGAAAATAAAAATATTATAATGTAGTGAAAAAAATATGAAAACCAAAATGTTAAACCTAGACGTGCGAAAGGTTGAAACGTAAGTAGGCACACCAAAGAAAAGGGAGAAAGGCAAGTATAGTGGGGGGAAAAGGTGGTAAAGATTAAAGAAAACTATTAAAATAACGAAAAGTAAAATTTAGAACTTTATTATTTATGCTATAATAGATCATATGTGTATTGTGTAACTTAGTATATATTCCAGTATGGTGTCAGTATTTCGGTATTTTATTTTTAAATACCTAATACTATTTTTTCTTAAAACTTAAACCAAATACCATACCAAATACTAAAATATTGAATATCAAATACTAAATTTTCGATTTCGGTACGGTAATTCGGTATTTACCAAATTATGCACAACTCTAACAAAAAGTGAGAGATTGTTACTAGAAAGAATAAAAAAGAAAATAAAAGAAGAAAAAATAACTACAAAAAAAAAAAAAAATTAAAACCACCACCACCACCGACATACTAGTATAATCCCACAAGTTGGGTCTGGGGAGGGTAGTGTGTACGCAGACATTACCCTTATCTTGTGCAGGTACAGAGGCTATTTCTGAAGACCCTCGGCTCAAGTACAAATGAAAACAAGCAGCAACAACAAACACTAATAACAACGATATAATAAGATAACTGAAACGAAAGAAATAACAAGTAGAAATATAACTGTATGAACAAAAATACAAGACTAATACTAATACAGTTGGTATGGCAAAGCAATACATTAAACTACCCACTAACCTTCTACCTTAATCCTCGACCTTCACACCTTGCTATCAAGGGTCATGTCCTCAATAAGCTGAAGTTGCGCCATATCCTACTTAATCACTTCATCCAGTACTTCGTAGGCCTACCTCTACCTCTCTTCATGCCACCAAGGCCAATCTATCACACCTCTTTACAGGGCATTTGCGCCTCTCCTCTTTACATGCCCGTACCATCTTTACCTTACTTCTCGCATCTTGTCCTCCACTGGGACCACTCTCACCTTCTTCCGAATAACTTTATTCCTAATTTTATCTCTCCTTGTATGCCCGCACATCTATCTCAGCATTCTCATTTCTACTACTTTCATCTTCTAGACATGGGAGTTCTTAACTGCAAACACTCTGCCCCACATAACATAATCGGTCCAACCACCACTCTGTACAACATACTTTTAAGTCTAAGCAGCACATTCTTATCACACATAACACCGGATGCGAGCTCCATTTCATCCACCTCACTCCAATACGATATGTGACATCCTCGTCAATCTACTCATTACATTGAATTACTGACCCGAGATATTTAAAACTTCCTTTCTTGGGGAAGACTTGAGTGTCAAGCGTCACTAACACGTCTGCATCATGATTCTCGTTACTAAACTTGCACTCCAAGTATTTTATTTTGTTCCTACTGAACTTGAAACCTTTTGACTCCAATGCCTGTCTCCAAGCCTCCAGCATCTATTTACATTGTCTCGTGTCTCGTCAATCAGAACAAAAATAAATAAACTAAAAAAATAATAAAAATAAAATAAGTGCAAAATTTTACTAGAAATAAAAAAGTGAGAAAATACAACAATAAAATAGAAAAAATAAAAGAAAGTAAACAAGACAAAATATTGGGGGAAAAAAAGGAGAAGGAGCTTAGGCATAAGAAGGGGGATAAAATCTTCAAAATAAGCATATTCTGTCATTTTTCAATAAAAAGAATATTTTGGACATGATTTTTTTTAAAATTTTAGTGCCTTTTTCCATTTAACTTTTGGTATAAGTTTGGAGATCTATATTTTATTATTAAAAAATAAAATGTACATATTCTGCAGTTACATAACAAGGACAAATCATAATTATTTTATTTAAAATATATAAGCAAATTATATTTAATGAAAAATATCTGACTTGTAAAATGCCATCACTCCTTTTGGTGCGTAGCAAAAACAATAGGCAGAATGGCCTCTGGGCCACCTAAACTTGCATAAGATTTTAAAGCCGATACTAAAACTCTCATTTTTTTCAAATTTGGCACCTCAATTCAATAAAAATGCTTATGATAAGCCCCTCTCTTAGAGCTTGTATCTCAATTGCTCGACATGAATACCACGTCAGATTCCCACACCATTTATTATTTGACAGCTGTAATTTGTGTGCCTTGTCTTTTTTCAAAATTAATTTATTAAATTTCTATTTTTTATTCTCTTTCCCTTCTTTTATTCTTCACCTCCTAGGCACGCGTATAAAGAGACGTTCACACGTGCTAAGGGACTGTGATTCGGTATGTCAACCACATGTCTGCACAAACTGTAAACATAAGCTTCGATAATGGAGGCTGTATACATAAGCTCCGATAATGGAGACTGAAGTTCAATCGAATTTCACCTATTTGAGAAGAACCTTCACCGATCTCAATATTAACGCAAGTTCCTCAACTTTCAGTGATTGCAATAGTGATAGATCCGGCGAGTTTCCAATCGCTTCTTCACAAAGCCGGCGGCTATTTTTGTCTTGCGCTTCTGAAAACTCTGATGAATTAATCGAGCAACTTGTTTCCGATGTCGAGTCAAGTTTAATTGACGAGCAAAATCAAGTGGCAACGGAGATTATACTCCTCGCTAAAAACAAACTGGAAAATCGTATCAAAATAGCTCGACCTGGAGCAATCAAACCGTTGATTTCGCTTATCGCGTCCTCCGATCCTCAGCTTCAGGAAAACGGCGTTACGGCAATTCTCAACCTGTCACTTTGTGACGAGAATAAGGAACTTATCGCTGCATCTGGAGCAATCAAATCACTAGTTCGAGCGCTTAAAATCGGGAACTCTACAGCTAGAGAGAACGCGGCTACGCAATTGAAACACTTTTGATTGTTGACCACGTGTGAACGTCTCTTGATTGTTGACAATTTTTGTGACGACCCGGCCGGTCGTCTTAAGAATTTACGCCCCGATCCCCCATTAACTGCTTCACCTAAGTTCATTTCTACTATTTTGGTTTGCCGGGACGTTCGGTGTTGAGTTTCGGAGAGTTTTGGGACACTTAGTCCCTAAATGAGAGCTTAAGTATGGAAAAATGGTCCATAGTCGGAACAGTGTGAAGACGACCTCGGAATGAAAATTCGATGGTCCCGTTAGCTCCATTGGGTAATTTCGGGGTTGGGAGCGTGTTCGGAATGTATTTTGGAAGTCCGTAGCTCATTTAGGCTTGAAATGCTGAAGTTTGAATTTTTGAAATTCCCGGTCCGATAGTGAGTTTTTGATCCAAGGGTCGGATTGGAATTCCGGAAGTTGCAGTAGCTCCATCATGTCATTTGGGATGTGTGTGCAAAATTTCAGATCATTTGGACGTGTTTTGGTTAGGTTTTTGATCGAAAGCGTATTTTGATAAAAGTTGAAGTTCTTAGTCTCAAATCCTTGTTTAATTCGAGTTTCCGGCGTTGTATTAGGTGGTTTAAGGATTGGTACAAGTTTGAATGAGGTATTAGGTGTTATTGGTGCTTTTGGTTGAGGTCTCGGGGGCCTCGGGATGAATTCGGATGGTTGACGGAAGGTTTTGAAGTTGAAGAGTTGCTGAAGACATGCTGGCATCTGTCATAACCGCACCTGCGGTTTGGGTTCCGCAGGTGCGGAACCGCAGAAGCGGCCTGACCATCGCAAGAGCGAAATTGGGCTCCCTCAACTTTTTCCGCAGGTACGGAAGATCTACCGCAAATGCGGTTACGCACATGCGAGGCCTCTATCGCAGATGCGGCCCTGGTCCTTTGTGAGAAACTGCAGAAGCGGTAAGAGTACCGCAGAAGCGGCAACCGCAGGTGCGGTATAAGACCGCAGAAGTGGAAGGCCTGGAATTTAATGAAAACTGCAGAAGCGGTAAATTGGCCGCAGAAGCGGAAATCCCTGGGCAGAAATAGAAATTTCGAGGGTTTGAGTTCATAAGTTACAAAAATCAATTGAGAGCTCGGGAGAGGGCGATTTGGAGTGGGTTTTGAAGTGAAGATCATTGAGTAACGTTTTCTTAATCCCTTCTAATTATATTTCATCATTTTGTAGTTAAATCCCTCATTAAAATTTTAATTTGGGATTAAAATTTGAAGAATTTGGGTAAAACTTCTTAGACCTAACTATTGGGTTTTGAGTGAGAATTTGACCTCCGACTTGGGAGATTTTTATATGGTTAGACTCGTGAGAGTACGAGGGTTCTGAAAATGTAAAAATTATTCGATTTCGAGGCGTTGGCCTGAAGGGCATTTTGGTCATTTCACCTAATTTTATGCCGTAGCTTTGAATTTAATAGCAAAACCAGGTGTTTGCGATGTTATTTACAATGTATAATTGAATTGAATAGATATGAGCCATTTGGAGTCGGATACTCGTGGCAAGGGCGTGATTTCTAGTTGATTTTGAGCAGGTTCGAGGTAAGTGGCTTGTCTAACCTTGTGTGGGGGACCTTTCCCCTTAGGATTGTTACTTGATTTTTGAGTGCCTTGTACGTGAGGTGGCGAGCACGTACTTGAGCCAATTGATGAAATTCCGGTTTTTACTTATGTTATTGAGATTTAGTTTCTTTCTTACTTGCCTTATTCTACTTGAAATTATAACTTGTGCTAGATTAGGAAAAGCATTTTTAGTTGACTTGATTGCCTATTTGCTTAAGTTGTTTTGACTATTCTACGTGAAGCATGCTAGGCTAGTTCTATCTGTGTTTGTATTTCGTACTTCATTCCTTAGTATATTTCTGGTGGTGGTTGTGCATTTACATTGGGACTACGGATGTGGGATTCCGGTAGCTCCCCCCCCCCCCCCTCTATCTGATTACTTTGGGACTACGGTTTCGATTCTCGGAAGATCCCCCTGCACTTTTACTTTGGGACTGTAGGTTAGATTCCCTATAGATCCCCCTGCACATTGATGGTTGGACTACGGGTCGGTATCCCAGGAGATCCTTCGGTTTGGTACATGAGTTGGACTACGGGACGGTATCCCGGGAGATCCACTGGACGGTTGAGAAAAGGGCTACAGGACGGTATCCTGGGAGACCCTCATTGGTATCATTGATATTGAACTGTATTTACTCTGTGTTTACTCTGTCTTTTGTAGTTGCTATTACCTCGTTGACCTGCCTTATCTCACTGCTGTACTTGTTATTTCTGTCAGATTATCATACTGTTAATTAATATTATATTTTACCTCAGTAGGGCCTTGACCTTCCTCGTCACTACCCAACCGAGGTTAGGCTTAGCACTTACTGAGTACCACTGTGGTGTACTCATGCCCTTCCTGCGCATGTTTTTCATGTGCAGATCCAGGTACCTCTTCTCAGGCGCACTATCCTTGAGGCGAGGAGATACACGGAGACNTGTGTTTCTATATATATACTGGGATACCAAGAGATCCCCGGCTTACTTATTGAGGATACCAAGAGATCCCTAGTGTATATGATGAGGATACCAAGAGATCCCTAGTGTATATGATGAGGATACCAAGAGATCCTCGGGATACAAAGATATCCCTAGTGTATATAAGGAGGATACTAAGAGATCCTCGGGATACCAAGAGATCCCTAGTGTATATGATGAGGATACCAAGAGATCCTCGGGATACCAAGAGATCCCTAGTGTATATGATGAGGATACCAAGAGATCCTCGGGATACCAAGAGATCCCCGGCTATTATTCCTTGTTGAGGGCAGTTCTCCTTGTATTTTACCTTGCTTTCTATTACTGTTCTTCCTTATTTACCTGGTTTAGAATTCTCGTTGTAGACTTTATTTAAACTGTTTATGTTATCTCAGTATTTATTATGTTATCTCAGTAGGGCCCTGACCTTCCTCGTCACTACCCAACCGAGGTTAGGCTTAGCACTTACTGAGTACCACTGTGGTGTACTCATGCCCTTCCTGCGCATGTTTCTCATGTGCAGATCCAGGTACTTCCTCCCAGGTGTATCATCCTCGTGGTAGAGAGTTCTAGCTGAGACTTGAGGTATATCTGCTACGTCCGCAGACCAGGAGTCTCTACTCTATTCCGGCTTTAGCAGATAGTTCCTTTCTTTCCTTTCATGTTGTTAGACATTCTGGTGTAGAGCAGATCACTACGTTCTATTAGCCTGTGTTTCCCGTGAGTTTCCGTGTTTTGGGATTTAGTTGTAGACTTCCGCATATTTTTGAGTTGTTTTAGGCCGAGTGGTCTTATATACAGTTGTTATTTCCGTATGTTCAGTTTTAATTAATTATTCCGCAAATGTTAATTTGTTATTCCGCACTGTTAGGCTTACCTAGTTGTAGGAACTAGGTGCCATCACGACATGTTCATGGAGGGTGAACTGGGGTCGTGACAGTTTTCAATATGTGTCATTATAATTCATGAACTCCACGGTAGATATCCGATAATATCTTATTATTGGTCTTTTTGTTATTGCAGCAGATAATTTAAGGCATAGGTGCAACACTGAAGCTATTTATCCACACATTCATTGAAAGTTCAAGTACCATAGTACCAGCTAACCAAAGGAAATTAAGTTTTTATTTTCTTTTTATTACGTTATACCCTCGTGTTGTTTAACAACGATATGATTCTTAATATACAATTTGATAGAAAGTTGGATAGATCAATGAGATGTATCTTGGTTTTTTGAATAGGTAAGATTGTACTTCTATGAACTATTTTGTAAGTGAAACAGTTATCAGTTTAATATATCTTTTCTTATTCAAATTTAGATATCCTAATTAACTTAAATGAATTATTTTATATAATTAAGATGGAATGATTCTCATATATTCGTCAAATACTTTTATATAAGATGTTAAAATCATAAAGCTACTTTTATTTCAACTTGATGGGACTATCGTTTGTGTTGGGAGTAGAGCATAATCTGACGCTACATAAACTTTCAGATGCTACTTTCAAGTTTCCAAAAGTATCGAGCAAACAATATATTAGCTCTCATTTGATATATATATATATATATATATATATATATATATATATATGACATTAGTGAATTAAGTTGCCAATAGAAAAAGTGATGTGGTATATCTCTTTAGCCAAGAATCATATTTATCTCTATTCTCAAATTTTTGACATTTTTTCTATTTATGTGCTACATTAAAGTATCCAAAAATCACTTCTTAATTATATTCTGTTAATTACACCTCCATCCGTTGCTCTTCTTTGTCTTTTCCGTTTTGAAAGCCCATAAGTCTATCACTAATTCAGTGATCAACCTATGCAATGAATCAAAAAGATAAGACTATAAGAATATTGTGGGCTTCTTCAACAGCCAACGCATCCGCCAGTCTCGGGACCAATCTTGCCCCCTCCTTTTTCAGCTCTTTACAGGTGCTTTTCAACTTATAATTTAGAAGCTTGATAAATCACTGTGTATTAGATTATATTGGTAATTATTCACTTCATCAATGTATCGTTATTCAAATTCTTACTTGCACATTTTATGAGGAGAGGGTTTTTGGAGTAAGTAACATCTTCACATGCATGAATGAGCTACACGTATGAGTGAAAGAGTGCATTTGAGTTGTACACTAAAACGTACTCCCTCCGGTCCAAAATAAGTGATTTTTTGGTTGTTTTCACATATATTAAGAAATTCACCTTTTAACATTAATTAGCAATGAAATTGACCATATTAACCTTTACTATCTCTTCACATAAACACTCCTAACACATACTCTAACATTAATTACTCTAAGGACAATGTAGGAAAAAATTAATTAATTCATTCTTGTAATCTGGAAAAATCACATACTTTGGACCACAAGAAAAAAGCCAAAAAATCACTTATTTTGTACCGGAGGGAGTATTTTTTTTCTATTTTATTTATTATTTTATTTGTGATCTAGGATATATCTGACT